TTGTTTTTAGTTTAAGGTGGTGGTGGATAAAATGGTGTTACGCTTCCTTAGTGCTTGGAATGTTCCACGTTTTTTTTTTCGGTTTTTGCGTAGATCTTAGAAGATCTTAGAATTGTTTCGATGTTTTGCGAGGTGTTTGACTTGAAGCGTGCGTGATGTTTTCCTGGCTTTATTTTTTTTTTTCGAGCAGAGTTAAAATGGTTTTCTGGTGTATTAGATTTGCTGGTTTTTTCTTCTGCATCGATCTGACTAGCGAAGTCCCAGAATTTGCAGCGCGGAACTTTTGCTGTTTTTTTTTAATCATTTTCCTGTCTTTTTTCTCTTGGATTTTGATGTTCCTGACGAACTTTGTCCCCTTTTTGCAGCCCTCCGCTGACTGCTAGAGGAGAAAACTTTCATACTCTCGACAAACAATTGACACAGACTTACACCGAAAACCAGCTGCGACATTATTTACCTCTCGTTTTTCCTCCCCGAGTTCTCTCGTTCTTCCTCCCAAGAGCTCGGGAAGATCTCTCGGATGAGTCCTCGCGTGGAAGATCCAATCCATCTCTCAACTTTCCTCCATCTCATGAAAACGCTGCTCAAAATTTTGGATACATTGAGGAGCTCTTCTTCTACTATTGTACTTAGAAACTATTTGACCCCCCATACATAATTTTTTTCTGTTGTCCAGCATGCCAGGCCAGGGATCGAACTGGCGACTTGTCCTTGTATTCTCTCTTTCCACTAGTAGAGTTGTAGGTTAGGGTTTGGGGGATTTCGGTGGATGGAAGCGACGACATCCTGGTAGATCTTGCTCCAGGAGGGAAGATCGATAGGCGCGAATGGATCCGCAGCTGCATTTCCTGCTGGGATTACTATCATTGTGCTGCTGCTGCGCGGCTTTGACTCTCGGATCTGGCCGCGCCTTGCTTGATGCAGCTCACTCGTACAATGATGGCGATAAGGTGCCCCTGTACGCGAATAAAGTCGGGCCTTTCCACAACCCGAGGTATGGCTGGCGAGAGATCTTTCTTTTCGCTGCTAGATTTGAGAGCGAAGTAGTTCTTTGCTGGGAATTCTTTTCGTTTTCTGAGACAAAAACGTGGTTTTCTTTTGTTTTTCTTGTTTAGCGAGACTTATCAGTACTATGATCTTCCATTCTGTGCTCCCGCGGAGGTGAAGCACAAGAAAGAAGCCATGGGGGAGCTTCTTGAGGGAGATCGCCTGGTGTCCACTGTGTACGAGATTAACTTCAAGGAGAAGAAGGACGTGCAAAAGCTTTGCTCGGCAACTCTCGACAGGAAGGACAAGGAGCGGTTTCGCAAAGCTGTGGAGAATGACTATTATTTCCAGGTGACGGAACTGTTTGGTGACCCTTACTGATTTTCTACTTTGGCTTGTAGATGTTCTTCGACGATCTGCCGCTCTGGGGATTTATTGGAAGGTTTGAGCTCTTTGATAAACAAAAGCACTACATGCTGTTCACTCACGTCCACTTTGAGGTTCGCTATAACGGCAAGCGAGTGATTGAGATCGCTGTTTCTACAGACCCGGCTAAAGCCATCGACATCACGAATGACGATCCAGTCCCAGTTGACTTTACATATTCCGTCACCTGGGCCGAAACTACTGTTCCATTCGAGAGGCGAATGGAGAAATACCAGAAGTACTCGTTTCTGCCACAACATCTTGAGATTCACTGGTTCTCTATCGTCAACTCGTGTGTTACGGTTCTTCTGTTAACGGGGTTCCTGACTACGATTTTCATGCGAGTATTGAAGAATGACTTTGTCAAGTAAGTTCATCCATTGGTTTGATTTCCAGCTGAGCCTTGATCTTTTTTCTTGTTCTTCATCTAGGTACGCCAAGGAAGATGAAGAAGATTCGGACGAGACGGGATGGAAATATATACATGGTGATGTCTTTCGATTTCCTCCTCATCCAAAGTACGTCGCGTCTTGTACATGAACTGAAGTCTAACGTTGTTTTTACGCTTCGCAGTGTTTTTGCGGCGGTCATTGGAAGCGGCACTCAGCTCCTGGTTCTCGTCTTTTGCGTCTTCATGCTGGCCTTAGTGGGAGTATTCTATCCATACAACCGTGGCTCCCTCAACACGGCTTGCCTCATTATATATGCGCTTACTGCTGGCATTTCCGGCTACGTCTCCTCCAAGTTGTACAGGCAAATGGGGGGAGATAAATGGGTAAGGCAAAATTGCTGTGACTTGGAAGCTCCTTCTCATGGTTGTTCTTTTCAGGTTCGGAATTTGTTATTGACAGCATCATTGTTTTGTGGGCCGCTGTTCTTAGCCTTTTGCTTCAACAATTCTGTGGCTATCGCCTACAATGCTACTGCTGCACTTCCCATTGGTACAATTCTTGTCATCACAATCATTTGGGCTCTCGTGACGCTGCCATTAACTGTGAGCGCCATAACTTGCCGTCCTAAACGTGTATTCATGAAGTACTTCCTTAGGTTCTTGGTGGAATCGTTGGCAAGAATAGCAAGGAGGAGTTTTATGCTCCTTGCCGGACAAATAAATTTCCTCGTGAAGTTCCATCCTTGCCGTGGTTTAGGAGGACTATTCCCCAGGTAAATACCATTACTTGGAAGACTCTCGGGGTTATTTATCCGTGATCCCTTGCAGATGTGCATGGCAGGATTTCTCCCGTTTAGTGCAATCTACATCGAGCTTTACTATATATTTGCGAGTGTGTGGGGACACAAAATCTACACGATTTACAGCATACTTTTTGTGGTGTTCATCATACTGATAATCGTCACGGCTTTCATCACCATCTCTCTGACGTACTTTCAGCTGGCCATGGAGGACCACACTTGGTGGTGGAGGTAAGAAGCAGTACCTGTCTATGCAAGCAGTTTCATACTGATTCTGTTGGCATGCATCGTGCCAGGTCCATTTTTTGTGGTGGCTCGACCGCTTTCTTCGTCTACGGCTACTGCTTCTACTACTACTTCGCCAGGTCTGATATGACCGGCTTGATGCAGACATCGTTCTACTTTGGCTACATGGCATGTGTCTGCTATGGCTTTTTCCTAATGCTCGGTACTGTCGGCTATCAAGCGTCTCTCCTCTTTGTTCGACACATATACAAGGCAATCAAGTGCGAGTAGGGAAGTAGCAACACCACTGAGATCAACCAAAACAGAAGGCACGGTTGAAGAGGTCTCTTAGAGTGTAAGCAAGTTCTTTTTTTTCTCATGGCAATCTCAAACACAGTTCTTACTGATGGAAGCGTTGCTCCTCCTGTTGTTCTCGTGCACCTGTGGTAACTTTTTCTTTTCCGGTGCAGGAGCAGAGGAAGCAGAGCTCTGGAATTATGCGGAATTGTCGCTTATGGTAGTGACAGGAATCCCGTGAAGGTGAACATAGTTCAGAGATTAACCATTGGTCGAGTACGAGGTGGATGGGTCTTTGTGTTGTTCCACTACCGCTTACTAGAGTCGTTTTCTTTAAACGTTTTGCTAAACGTTACACCACTCGGCTGCTCGTCTACCTGCTTTGATTCAACAGGTGAAGGAGATTGTGATGGTCATCAAGTCGAGTGACTGTCAATCTTGAATGGATCTCTTTTAGTGCTCCATTGAATGATACGTAAGTGCGTATTGATTTTTAGCTGTCTTGGTCTTCTCACTCTCACCTGTTTTAAGCAGATGAAGCGAAGCGATGAAGAACGAAATCCCTTTTCCTAAGAGGACCGTCGTCAACATGCGAAGAGATCTCCGACAAGAAGAGCTACTCGTTCTACTGTTTGTGATTGTGATCATCGTATTCAACGAGTTAGTTTATGCCTGGCCTTCCCTTGCTCTCAATGATCTCTCCCCTCCTCCAGGGAACAGGTACATCAAAGTTACAAGAGTAACTTTTTTCCTTCTGCTTGTAATCGTGTAACCAGAGCGTTTGCTTGGCAGCTTGCAGCTAAAGCTCTTGACTTGCAATGGCAAGCAGACGTACGGTTGCTTTGCAGGGCAATGGAAGTTACTCAACGCCACCGCCGAGCTGGTGAATGCCGAGAAGAATACCACGATCAAAGTTGGATCTTACTACTATAGCCACCGTTCTCATTCTGGGGGCACTTGGTCTTTAATCAACAGTCCGGCAGTGTATGCAGAGTCTGGCTTCCAGACGAGCGTCGTCTCAGGTGAATCTCTTTTTTCTTTCCCTCGACGGTTTGCTCACAAACTTCCGATCAGGGACAGAGATAGCAAGCGAGGAAGCGGGAGATGGATGCTCCAGCGCGTTGGCGGAAGCATCCGACCACAAGCACGCTGGAATAGCTTCCACAATCTCCTACATTCAGAGGTTTCCAGGCAAGACGACGGGTTTACTGTCCGGGAAGAAATGCAAGCGAGGCTCCAGAGCAAGAGAGGTCCCATATGAAGCGGAATACTGGCTGTGGTCACAAGACAAAGTTCCACCGGCGGACACCCCCGCGGAAGTTCGAGTGTCTGGCGAGAAGCTGGTGGAAGGATTCTTCTCCAAAGGCGTCGTGTGTCACGTCTACAATGGGACAGCCTGGGAAGTGCGAGAGTGGAAAGCAAAGTTATACGACGTTCCCGGTGGCAGCGTCGTCGGCCAGCACTCCATGAAGAACAGCAGCACCAGCTTGGTGTGGGAGCTTTTCAATCCCAATGGCTTTGGAATTCGCGGATCAAGCAGTGGTGGATCCGTGCAAGTCGCCGAGAACTGCATGCCATGGACGTTGAATCACGTCACACACACCTGGGGAAATGCGTGAGTTTTCGAGCTTTCTCGTTTTCTAGCTTTGTAGTAACTTGTGATTCTTTGCCGCACAGATCGCTGCTGGGACCGTTAAGCCATGTCCAGATGGTGTCAACGAGGGGTGGAATGCCGCCATCGTCGAGCGAAAGCAAGGTTTCAACCTCGGCATCTCCGCTGGAGCCATTGACTCCTCGCCCAGCGACCGGCCAAGTTTCCAACACCACGTTTTCGGCGGTGTTTTGGCTCTATGCTAGATAGAAGATAGACGAGCGACCTCAACTTGTTCACGTTATTATCATTCTCGAAGAATCTTGTTGGACATCTTGAATGCCTTCCAAGCGTTCTTCAAGCACGAAGATGGTCGAGGATCTATGTCTTGGAAGCTAAGCTGTCAATGGAAGCCTCAAAGATGTGTGAGCTTTGAAAGATCTATCTACTTTCGTCTGGAGGCGACGAGGCCATGGCGTTTGATCGCTCCCCCGTGATGACTGGCATCCACAGCTTAGAAGTCTCTCTCAAGAGGCTCTCGGCCTCTTCGTCCTGGGCCAATTCCGCGACTTTGGCTTCTAAGAGTTCCATCCTCTCGCTCAAATCGCTAAGCTGGTTCTCGATCTAAAACACACACACAGTGAACAAGAAGAAGGTAAGAAAAAAAAAAACTCTTACATCCTCCGCAGGCGCAGGAACTTTGCTCGTTTCGGCGAAGAGATCACTGAGCTTGTCCCGGAGCTCCAAATCCGCAGCCCCTTCAGCCTCCTCGAACTGCCAATTCAAAGGAGGTAGCACCAATCAATTCCACAGACTTGAAGGCTAGCTCTACCTGATTCAAGATGGCGTGAAGGCAACTAAACAGATCAGCAGTGGTGGCCGCCTGCTGGGGTGGCGCTACATTCGCCACGGGGGCCTCTTCTTCTTCTTCTTCGGGCGCCAAGCTCGTTATAGCCATGAACCCTAAATTTGACAAAATTAAATCATATGATCTTAAACATATTCAAAAAATTTCTGAACCCTAAATTTGAAAAAATTAAATCATATCATCTTAAACATATTCAAAGTTAAAGATCAATACCTAATTCACTCCATGTGTTGTTCATGCTCCAATCCAACCAACTTCCCTTCTCTCTCTCAGATCGGGTTGGTGCATTCAAAATACAAGAATACAATTCGTGTTGAACTGAAAGTTTAATACAGAATTGAGTGCCATTCCAGAATGGCTCCTCTTTTTTTGTCCTTTTACTGTACAAAATGGCCTACCTTGCGACGAACAGGGCTTTGTTAGTTTCCTTGTTACGCATCGGGCGAAGGAGACGACTGAGTCGAGATCGATGGCGATGATGCCTCGAGTAGAGATTGTGGAACCGGAATGAGGGAGTTTCTGGAGCAGCAAGTGCAGGGACCCGTGCAGCTGTGCCATGGTTTCTCGATCTCTTTGATGGCTTCCTGGATTGCCTGTTTGGCAGCCTCTGATCCAGTCTGTGATGAGAAAAAGAGAACTCGTTTAGGAAGACTGAGTTCTAACGGAAGTTTGTGGTTGAATACCTTTGCAGCGTTGCGAAGAGGTCCCCAGCACTCGACTTTGTTGTATTCACTCACGTTGGAATGGAAGTAGACCCAAACCATCGCTCCCTCCAGCTCTAAAGTTCACAAAAATTTTAAAAAAACTTTGCTTTCCAGTGGAAAAGGCTGTGGCTACAGTACCTGGATGATTCCGGAAGAGAGGTTCATCCCCATGCCGAAATGCTTCCAGAACCTGGTAAAAAGGAAGGAATTCTTTAGTCGTTTCGAAGTTTGTGGAAGAACACTTGAAGAACTTACGACTGGGAGCTCCTTGCGAAAGATGTAGAATCGAAGAGGAGCGATGGCGTCGAGCATCCAGTGGCCACCACTGATATGGCAATGCACATGTAGCGACATCTCGCCCTTGGTTTGCTTCCACTCGGCCAAAACTTCGTCTCTTTGGAGCCTGCTATACCACCCCATGATCTGCGCAGGCACAATCAATCAATCATTCATGAGCTTCCATTCCATGTTCACCAAAATCGAGAACAAAAGAACTATGATCTCCAGTCACTCACCTGTGCTTTGTTGATTTCTCGCGAGATCGCCAGCGTGAGCTTGGCGGTGATGTCGCTGTGCGTGAGCGTGTACGTCCTGGGAGACTTTGAGGGGTGCTTGTCATGATCTTCTCCCAGAAACAAGACTTTGAGCTTGGACGCCTCGAAGATCGCCGGCCCAAACAATCGAGCCTCCTGCGACGCACAAGATGAATCTATAGATGCTCTATGACTTGAAGACAAAGAAACTTACCACCACCGGTGAGATCCTTCTAGACGCGTTCCTGATCTGCCGAGAAGTGAGCAGCAGTCTCTGGCAGCTCCTCGAGCTCAAGAACTGCGACACCTTCGCCGTCTTGGATCTATGGAGCCCTGTTCTTGAGTCGGTGCCACCGGAGGTAGAGAAAAGACTCATTGCTACTTCCAAGGAGGCCACCGCCATGACGAACAAATTAAACAAATCTAGTCTACTACTTGTTTAAGCTCGCGCTAGATTCGTGGAGAATCCCTGTCGGAACAAAACAACGATTTCTCTGCTCGTTACAAGCCTTGCATTGCCACCGATTTGCCGCGAATCCTCCCTGGAATGCGCTAGCTCTAGCTCTTGGAGAAAACAAGAACGCAGAAGATTTCTCGCGCCGCCTATAAAAATCTAGAATGCGAAACTCTCACACGCCTCCTCTCTCCTCCCGCAGTGTTTGGAGCTCTTGTTTGCGCGCTATACCTTCGCTTCTCTCCTCTTGTTTGAAGCAAGGAAGAGATTGGACGCCGTCAGCACCCACACAGAATATCCGCACCACTGACGGCAAATCAACGGCCGAATGGCGGGACGCGTCACAAAAGCCGGGGAGATCTATCTGACGGTGGCGGAAGGTGCTACGTGGGGCCCCGGTGGACTACACGTAGCCACTCTTGGCTAGCAATGCAAGCAAAAGGCCCATGCGCTTTGCCAAAGCCTCACGAAATCTTGGCTTGTCTTGTGTGTTTCTCGCGTTAAAATGGCGTGTAGAAGTTGGTTTAGAGCCGCAAACTTGGATCTCCTCTCTCTTTCTCTTTCTCTCTCGAGTGAGAGAAGTTTTTTCTTGACAGCGCCTGGTGTTACGTGCCTCGCTGGGAAGCGGCGGTGACTTTGGGATCAACTCGGAGTTCTAAACACTTTGGCGATGATCTTCGCACTGTGACGTGCTAATGCGCCGGGTGTTCACGTGACCGGGATCGAGACGACACGTCAAGAAGCTGCTGGAATTCTCTGGACGTTGATTCAATCCTTCCAGGATCAAACACGCACCAAGTAAGAAAGAGAGACGAGGAGAACATACGTACAAGTGTGAGCAAGTAATTCGTGTCCCGTTTTTATGTGTGTATTCTCGAAACCAAAAAATTGAAATCGGAGGAGAGGAAAGTTATGTTGCTCGTGTCTTTCTCTTGGTGCCCCTGGCTACCTGGACAGAGGATGTTTTAGAAAGTGGCTCTCAACCGGAAAACCAAATGGAACAGTGCAAGAGGGACACACGTACCTTGGGTGATGAGTTTTGGCACGGCACCAGATCATCCTGTTGTTGTTGGTGCTGTTGGTGTTGCAGTGGCTGCTGTGGTGTCTTTTGTTCCCGAACTTGCGAGCTTTTCAGGACACCCTGCAATAAACGTTCACGGAATTTATGTTTTTGCTTTCGTTCCAAACGCCAAAACACGTACCTTATTTGCCCACATAAGACCGCAGGCATTACACAGCGTCTTTGGTCCGGCTGGACCTTTTCGCATCATCGGTGTTGTTCCAGATGCACATCCACAGCCCTGGCAACTGCGGTAAACAAGGAAGAAAAAGATCCATAGCTTTGAGTAACCAGAGTGAAGGAAAAAATAAAACCAACTTACACAGTCTCTACTGCCGGAGTCGAAGTTGCCGGCTTCTCCTCGGACTCTTCCTCTTTGACCTTGAAGGGAGCAAACTGGCCTTTGTGCCGGTTCATCTTCACGGCTACATTGCTTCTCACCGAGTAGAGAATTCTCTTCCCCCATATCCGCCTCTCTCGCTTCTCACGGTACCTGCGGATGTATTCTTCTCTGTCCCTCGGATTTAATCGCTGCCCAGGCCCGGGTGGTTCCAGCAAGCTTTGATTCTGGAAAAAGCGAAGAACAGAAGAATAAGTTACAACACTGGAAAAAAAAAAGGGAGTGATCGATCCAAACACCTTAGGATATGAGAGATAACTAGGTACATTGGTGAAGGATTGGATCTCCTGTCCACCCAGAACCGTCAAAACGTCATGGACCTGGAAACCAACAAAAATATGAGAGCAAACAAAGGAGAAAGAAAAATTTCCCCAAGAACGTAGAAGAAACACCAAGAAATCCTTCCTGGGAGGGAGTAGGGCGACAGAAATCTCGTACCTTTTCCACGGGGACGTTCTCGAAGAGATAGACCTCGCCCTGGTACGAGAGAGTAAGCTGGCTCCCTCCTGCATGCTCCTCATCCACGACGGGCTCCTCCTCCTCGAGATCCACCATGGCGCCATCGCCATCGCCAGCGCCATCGCCAGCGCCATCGTCTTCCTCCTCCTGGAATCCATGCGCGCCCTCGCCGCCCTCTCCCGCGCCCTTGGCGCCCGCCTCCTCTTCCTCTTCTACAAATCCCTGGTTTTCAAATTCATGGTGACGATCGATTGTGGAGCGTTGATGCTCATGCAGATGATCCATCGCGCCCCTCACAGATCTTCACCGTTCACTCCACACCCTGCCCTAAAAACAGGCTCCCATTGGCCTTTCTTGCTTAGCCACAAAACCGGTACTGCTTAGCCCTTAATCACGATTAGTCGATAATTAAGCCAAAACCTTTGTGTTCTTTACAAGCTTTGTTTCTCGAGCGAGCGAGACATGGTTTTCCTTTCCTTCTTTCATTCTTGCTTTTCGCCTCGCCCCACCCTTCTCGACTTAATGGACAGCTCCAGCGACCGCGGGAGGCCTGTGGACGACCACAATCTCTTCCGGGAACAACGCTTTGATCAAACCGGGAGTTTTGAGCACTCTCCGGCCCGTCATTTGAGGATAGACGTCCTCGAGGAAGTAGTAGACATGACCAGCGGCCATTCCCTGTGAAAAGAGATTAAAAGGATTGAAGTTTTTTGGCAGAGAAAAGCTTACGAGGAGATCGACCCAGGGGCTGCTTCCCACCATTACAGAGAAGCCAAGGAGAACCTGGAACCATTGCGTGATTTGAAATGAACGCTGGAAGAGAAACTAGTTTACCCAAGGCAAGTAAGGAGCGGTGAAGCTGAAGAGGCCCAAAAAGCTCATGTGTACGTAAGGATTCCTTCTGCTCCAGACGTACACCTGGAAAACGAAGCACACAAAGTCAGCACGGAACAACGACAATGCGCTCACAAGAATTAACATGTTTGGCGTACCATCATAAACGTGAGGGAGTTACTCAGGAAGAGAATCTCGGCAAACGGCAAAGGGAAAGAAACCATGCCGCCGAGAACCACGATCAGCGTCAGCAGGCTCCCACCGAAGAGCAGCATGAAGAAGAAGTCGGCCGTTCTTCCCCGGAACGAAGTCTCTTCCAGAAGCTTGCAGTACCGAGCGAGGAAGAACATGTGAAAGAGAAAGTCGAGATCTACAAACAAAGATCAAGAAAAAAGAGATAAAAGAGAGTTGAGAACCACTCGCCAAAACAAAAGTTTGAGAAGCCACTCACCAAGTCGACCAAAGTAGAAGAAGTTTGTGACCAAGCGCCACACTTCGTAGTGCTTGACAACGCGCATTGGGTTCAGGTATACATTGAGAGGTGAGATCACCTACACGCACCAGAAAAAAGAACAAAGAGAAAAAAAAATTAGAGAAAACACTCCAAACACTCCAAACAAGAGAAGAGATTTTACCTCTAGCGCGCAACCAGCAGTAGTGAGCACAGACAATGTGAGGTAGGAGCGCGTGATGATAGGTATTTGCCTGTACCACTCCTCTACCAATTGCGCCATTCTCTCTAGACACTTAGCGATTCTAGTTCCTAGCGCTACGATCCACCTCTGGCGATTCTAGTTCCTGCGACTCTACCTCTGGCGAGCATTTAGCTCATGACGATCTTTCCAGCGCCAAGCCCAAGCAGCGTCACGGCTCGATTAGGGTATATGAGACCACGTGGAGAAAATACCACCGTGGATGCTGTGTACTGGCCAATCGCGTGCTGCCAAGTCAGCACTGCCACATAAACGGTGAGGATTGACCGAATGGTTTAGCGGTCACGATATGAACCTCCCGAGCAAGTTCGCGATTTTCGTCTCCAGGCGCTTCTGGATTTGCGCTAAGTGTTCTTTCAACACTCGAGATGGCTCCTCGTCTTTGGATGGAGCCATGAAACTGGAGATGGATTGTATCGCCGAGAGCTTGTTTCCCGAGGCTTGGACTTCGTGTTGGAGCTCAAGAGCTCTTGGAAGTAACGAAGATGGCGAGATCGAGCCAGTCTTGACGGCCTTTTCGGCCTGTGTCTGTGGTCAAAGATTAGAAAACTTTGGCACAGGAAGTTGCAATCACATACCGAAAGATCGTTGATTTTTTGGAAGAGGACATGGTACTCATGAAGTTGCTTCTCGAGAATGCTGGCTAGACCCGTCCTGTTCATCACACCGTGATTTTACGACAAAAAGAATGGACGAAGCGACTTACTCCGGATTTGAATTGGTAGCGATTCCAAGATTGTTCTTCTCAGTTTCCTGTGAGTATCAGTGTCTGAGAACGAGAAACTAAAAACCAAGCGTACCATCATTGAAGAAGTCGAAGCTTCTGATCTGTTTGTTTCTGAAGCTTCCTGCATCCTGGGACGAGGTGTTAATTGTTGACTCTCAGTCTGCTGTGTCGACCTCTCCGTTCTTACGGATGGTTGATCCTTCTCTTTGAATACCTCCTCGTGCCGCATTTGCGGCTGGACTATCTTTGCCTCAACGAATGCAAGCTGTAAATCCTTTCTGTGGAGCCCAGCTTCGTCGTGCTCCAGAATTCCTTCCACGTTCAACTCTGGCTCCTTGTTTGATCTTCTGTTAGAACGACTCGTTGGTTTGTTCAAGTACGTTTGCAACTGCTGCCGTGTTTCCTGTATCAGGGACTCTGTTTCCTTTCGCATGGCGGCTTCAGCATCTAAAAGACTGGCCATGTGTTTGAGCTGCGAGTCCCTTGCCTTAATTTGTTGCTCCAGTGAGAGTAAATGCATTCGCAAACCTTCCATCCTCTCATCCTTAGCCTTCATATGCCGCTCGAACGACTCGATCTCGTGGCAGTGTCTGCCTGTTAGTTCTGCTGTATGCTGAGCTTTAGCGGCTTCGATGTACTGCTTGATGTTTGAATCGTTGGGAGCCACTTCTGTTAAAAACAAAGGTTCGTTTCAGTGTCACGTAAACGAACTCATCAAACGTGTACCTTGATACGAGTTTGTTGTTTGCACCATATTCATAGCCATCTTCGCTGCGGAATAGAGTTTTCTCCACCGGCTAAGTTCAAGGTCCCTTGCGCGTTCCGCATCTATGTACAGCGCCAGTAAATGCTTCGCAGCGTTGAGATTAAAGACTTCAACAATTGTTCCTGCTGGACTGATGGAAAGAGTGTTGTCTAAACATTCCTCGTCACCATCTTTCCGAATGTCAAACTGATCCAAGCGCAGTAGAGCACACTCTTCAAGCTGTTGTACTCGCTGCTGATAGTAATTAACTTGCTTTTCCAGTTCTGCCACCTGTTCCGCGTACGAGTGGAGCTCTCTTTGTTGTGCTGCCTGCACGTCAAATCGCCGCAGCCTGGGGAAGACCCCTGAAATCTTGTTGTCCTTTGCTGCTGAGTCCAGCTTCTCTAACAGCTCGGTTTTCTCTGTCTTTAGAGTGTTTATCCTTGCTAACACTGTTGCCAAAACGTCTTCCTGAACTCTGAGTTCTTCTTTGAGCTTGTCACATTCTGCACCACGAGTCTCAGCCTCAGCAGATATCTTTTGCTTCAGATCGTCGGCAGCAGCTTCGTGAACTTCAAACTCAGCAGCCATTTTTGCTCTTAAGTTTTCCACCATACTTTCGGCGGCTTTACGAGCTTTGGCCTCAGCAACAAGAGTTTCTTGGCATCTGTCGACCATTTTCTCAGCAGTAGCCAGCTTCTGAACGAGCTCGCACTTTTCACTGCGTTCCATATCTCCATCTTCTTTAGCGGCAGCCATCAAGAAATCTTTTTCCTTTAGCTGGCCCTTGAGATCGCTGATCATAAGATCTTTTTCCTTGCATTGCAAGCAGCTGGTGTCAATCCCAACTTGAAGACGTCTAATGCACTCGGTCAGCTCTTTCCTCAGCGTCTCGATCACTCCCTTCAATCTTTTCTGCTCGTTCTTCCAGCGCTGCTCTTGTGTTGAAAACATCGCCATGACTTTTTCGTTGGCTTTTGCATCCTCAGTTCTCCTGACCCTGGCTTCATCGAGCTGGCGTTGAAGCTCATCTGGGTCAGCAGTTGTGGAGATCCTTTTCTCCAGCATGCTTGCTCTAGCGGCTATATCTCGTAGTCTTTCCATTGCTCTGTTTACCAGGAACTTTACTGTTGCTTTCTGGCGCTTCCGGTTGAAAACGGTCAATTTCCTTCTGCCGTGATATCGTCTTATCAACGCCCCGAGAGTGATGAAAGACAATGCAACCGCGGAGTATTCTGCTACAATCGGGAATGCTTCTTCAGCTGGGTTAATCGAAAGGTACCTGGATATGAATTTCAGACTTTTCCGAGCTCGCTTGCTCCTCTTGTTTCCGAATTTTTTGAAGCAACTTCCAGCCATTGCAATAACTTGGACCGGAAAATCAATCACAACACCTGTGATCGAGTCAGAGACGGGAAAGTAACGGCAAAATCAGCTCGAGAACATACCAAAAATCCTGGCAGCGGCATTGTCGTGGGCGACTCAAGAACCGGTCCCAGAATCAAAAACTCGCGCTTGGAAAGCCCTAGAGCCCGATTGCCAGAAAATTTTGAATGTAGTATATCTGCGAAATCTCCGTGGATAGTGCACGAGATCTGGAACGGATTTTGATGGCTCGGATTTACGTCCATAAGTTTCTTCGTCACTGTTCATCTGAATTACGAATTTCCAGCAGCAAAAAAGAGCGCCATTCGTTATTCCGGCACGAGAATGAAAAACGAAAAACGTGTACCTTGGGTCGCTGTAATACGAAACTTAAAGCTAGCAGAAGAAATGCTCACACTTACTGTAGGATTAGATGCTTCTCGTCCTCACGCAGGTTGAGATGAAAGAAAAAGAGCCGCAAAAGAGAATAGTCTCCATCTTCGATGACCAGCTCCTTGCTGATCCTGCAAAACCTCACGGCGGTCGTCAAAGCCTAAGAAAAAGTGAAACAAAAAGTAGCCATGTCCAACATCCGCAAGGAACTCATGGCATACGAAATAACGGCGTAGAGAAATAGAAAAGAGAACAACACCTTTGAGTTTCGTCTCCATTCACAGCGAACACGTTAGATAGAACAGGACGAGTGCCAAAAGATTCCACTCCAGAACAATGTTAAGTGCCTGCACAGAAACAATAAAATTTCTTACCGCCGTTTGTTCGAGTGGCAACAAAGAAAATGCTTGTGATGCCTTCATGAGCAGTGAGAGCACTAGAAATCTCGCGATCGGATTGAAATCAATTCGATCGCCTGTCAATCTAACACCCAACAGGCGAGATTCGCATCGCAGCTAAAAAATATCCGTGACAACGAATAAAGCGATCGAGGAGCCGATTCATTCGTACCTGGGAGACGATCCGCGCGGCTGGAGAGCGCCAGAGCGCGGCCGCCATCGTCCCTAAAACCCTAGCGAGCAAGCGGCCACAAAATTTCAAACATGGCATGGGTACGTGATCATTCCGCGAATATACCCTGCATTGGGGGTTTAGGGTTGTCGCAAGGACGAAGAGGAGAAAGCAATCCAACGAAATGGACGATGGCGAAGTGGATTTCTCCGACCACGATATCTTCTGCGGCGCCTCCAATCTGGTATGTGACGACGACCACAGCGCCAGCGCCATGGAGAGCTTCCTGGACGAGATCCTCAAGAGCACACACACTTGCACGCACACTCACACTTGCAATCCTCCCGGCCCGGACAAGACGCACACGCACACTTGCTTCCACACGCACACGCAGCTCTTCGCATCGCCGGAGGAGGGCTCCTCGCACCAAAAGGAGGAAGAAGACCATCATCGCCCAAGCTCTGAAGCTCTAGGTCCCGGCAGCATTGCCACCGCCGCTACCACCACCGCCACCACCGCCGCCGCAGCGCCGCAATCCAGCAAGAAGCGGCCGCTGGGGAACCGTGAGGCCGTGCGAAAGTACCGTGAGAAGAAGAAGGCTCACGCTGCCTATCTCGAAGAACAGGTTGCGCAGCTCAAAGCGCTCAACCAGCAGCTTGTCAAGAGGCTCCAGGGGCAGGCGGCGCTCGAGGCGGAGGTGGCGAGGCTGCGAGCTCTCCTGTCCGAGTTCCGGGGGAGGATCGACGCGGAGCTCGGGTGCTTCCCGTTCAAGCGGCCATGCAGCACGAATGGCCGCGGTGGCGGCGGTGGCGACGGCGCCGCTGCGAACGGTGACGAGTGTTCTCCGCAGCTCCAGGCGCTCTCCGGCGGATTCTACCTCAACACCGTGTCCGTCCCGTGCGACGCCGACGTCCCGTGCTTCCATGGCGACTCTACGAGCTCGCAGCCGCAACTTCATGGAGGAAAAGGCGCCATAGCTTGCGACTACGTCTCGGAGAGCTGCCAGGGAACTTTGGGAGACTCGGAGGGTAAGATCCTCTTTTCTTTCGCGATTGAATTGCTGATAGAATGTTTTTTTTCTTGCAGGTGGAATACAATGATCACTGAATTGATTCTCACCCCGGCCGATGGTTTGTGAGGAAAATTACGCCGAGAAAAGGTGGTGGCATATTCTACTATGGGAGAATATTCACGAGAGGATGTTTCTATAGGGTGCATTTCATCGCCGGTCAAGCTTTGGCATCGGCACACTCGGCAGCACACTATCGAAGAAAAGTAGGAGCAGGAAAAGCAGGGAAAGCACGGAAAAGCACGAAAGCTTTTTTGGTTATCCTAGGAGGCTTTTGTGACAGCTTCTGGGTCGTCAGCGGCTACGCGAAGAAACGAATTTAAAAAGGAGGTGGAGCTCGCAGGAACAAGTAGCTGATAGATTTGAGTCGGCAGCGGGCAGGGTAGCGAGCAAGTCGGTGAGTGGAGTGGAAGTCACAGCGCCGAGGTTTTTGAGATCTGGGAAGGAGGAGAGATGGCGGAGATTCGGGAGAAGTTCGCGGCTCTTGGTGGCAGGATGAGCCAGAGGATGAACAGCCTCGGGGACAAGATGAAGGAGGTGTTTCAGGGGTCGAGCCAGGCTGACAAGTTCGTGGAGGAGGCGACCTCGGAAAAGAACGGCTTTTCTCCGGATTGGGGCAAGAACTTGCAGATTTGTGACATGGTGAATGCCGAGGGTCTCACCGGACAGGATGTTGTGAGGGGCGTGAAGAAGCGGCTGAGCTCCAAGAGTCCTGCGGTGCAGCTCCTGGCTTTGGTACTTTTGGAGACTTGCGTGAAGAACTGCGAGAAGATGTTCGCCGAGGTGGCCTCCGAGAAGGTGCTGGACGAGATGGTGAAGCTTGTGGACGATCCCCAGACGAGCTCGCAGAACCGGGATAAGATTCTAAGGATGATCGAGTCGTGGGGCGAGGCCACGGAGGAGTTACGGTACTTACCCGTGTTTGAAGAAACTTACAAGGTATGTGGCAGTTTTTCTAGTCTGTATCAATGATTTTTTATTTGTGGGTTTTTCTTTTCTACAGAGCTTGCGGTCGAGAGGCATAAGATTCCCTGGAAGAGACGAGGAGAGCCTCGCTCCGATTTTCACCCCGCCACAGTCGGCTCCAATCCAGTCCTCATCGTTGGCTCGCGCTCAAAGCGACCCCAAGGCGGATCCAAAGGAAGTTTTTGATGTTGCTCGCAACAGTAGCGAGCTTTTGTCAACCGTGTTGTCGTCATCACCGCAGAAAGAGGCTCTCGAGGTGAGAAAAATTCTCTTCTTATTGTGGAGATTTGTTTTCTCATACTCCTTGCTCGTCGTTTTAGGATGATCTCACCACAGCGCTAGTCGAGCAGTGCCGGCAGTCCCAGCTGAGCGTGCACAGACTGCTGGAGGGGTCGCCGGAGAACGAAAGCTTGATGTTCGAGGGCCTCCAAGTTAACGACGAGCTCCAGCGAGTGTTGCAAAAGTTCGAGGACCTGTTCGTCGGCCGAGCTCCATCGGAGGCAGCGCAGCCAGCCCTTCCAACTTTCGCGGCCGCCGCCGAAGAAGAGGGTCCATCGGAGGAATCCCTGGTACGCACTCGCCAGAAGCAAAACGCCACAGAAGAAGGATCGGCATCGATCGACAAGCTGGACGAGCTGGTTTTCGGCGGCAAGAGCTCCAGTTCCAGCAAGAAGAACACCAAGAACAGCGACGATCTCATTACCTTCTGAGCTCTCCACAGTCCTCGTATCGTTCGTGTATAGATTTTTTTTCTATCTTCTACAGATTTGCTGTCTCTCTCTCGTTCTCAATCTTTCTCCAAAGATTGTGTGTCATCGCAGGAATTTGTTTTCTTAATCACGCTTCGATTTCTCTTTTTTTTTTGTTGCAACGAAAGTCTTTGGCGTGCTTGATTGCATTGAGTTACTTCTACGTGAGAGCGTCCACATGGCGTCGTGTGAGTGAGCCACGGCAGCTCGCGTCCAAGTGGCGCCGCCACCTCACATTTTTACTCGAGGACTCTGGGAAAGCGCCTCTTCAAGAAAGTTTGAGAATGGGATAGAGATAGAAGTGGATTTTAGGGCGCTGCGATGACGCACGCCCCACGTCTAGGGCTTTGATTTCTTGGGATGGCTGCCATGAGCACGCAGCGGCAGCGCGCGCTGGGCGTAGCGCTGCTCTGCGGCGGCTCGATCGTCGCCGGCAGCAAGCTGCTCCAGTTGCGGATCAAGGCGTTCCAGAAGGAGCAATGGGAGTTGTGCGAGAGCGCCACTTCCAGGCAGAATATGCAGCTCCTGTCCCGGCGCCCCAAGGTGAATCGATCGCGTAGGTTTTGAGCTGATCCAGGAGCTCATTCGCTCGAATTATTGCTCGTTTGTGATCCAGGTATCGGTCGATGGCCTCTTTGCCAAGCGGCTTGTCGAGATTTTGAGAATTTGCATCCCGTCGATCAAGTCCAGGGAGGTGCTCTTCATTGTGATCCAGACGTTGCTTCTATACAGCAGAACACGTTTAACAGGTGTGCTTGAGATTAAAATCTTGCGAATTTGACTTTCCTGGTTCTTCGTGCTTGGTCAGAGCAAATGGCAAGCATCGAAGGCGTGACGGGCCAATCTGTAATTTCCAAGGTAAAGTTTTCTTGCTTCGAGAACACCATTTAAAAAAAAAATTCCGTGGTTTTGTTTCTTTCCCAGGATTGGTCATTGTTCAGCACTAACTTGATGGGATTCGCTCGAGTAGCGATTCCAGCAGCAATTGTCAACAGTGGCCTAAAGTACATGCAGGTAAAGCGCAAACTTTGTGAGTTTAGTAAGAAAAATGGTTTCTTATTGGATGTACGACAGACAATCATCAGTCTTGCGTTTCAACAACGTCTTGCAGAGCATTTGCACCAGTGCTACTTGACAAATCGCGTGTATTATGTAGCTTCGACACTGAGGGGTTTATCTAACGCTGACCAGGTGAATTAGCTCATGGATTTTGCATTGTTTTGCTCACAAGCTTCTCCTCTTGATTTGCAGCGCATCACGGAAGATGTTGCAAAGTTTTCCGTGGCTATTAGTGAGCTTTACTCGTATACGTTCAAACCTGTGTTGGATATCATCGTCTTTACGCGTTCCCTTGCGAAGACCATTGGGTAAGTGAAGCTACGATGTTTTCTTTGATTAATCCGGTAGGTTTGTTCAGGTACAAGGGGCAATTTCTACTTTATGCGTACTTTCTGTTTTGCTCAACCTTCTTGCGGAGTGTAAGTCCTCCTCTTGCTCTTATGACAGCACAAGAGGCTGCTTTGAGCGGAAACTTTAGGAACGCGCATCAAAGGTCCGTCGCTTTTTCGTTTTCGAAATATTGGTTTAAGTGTACTGATCTTTTAGGATAGTTGCGAATGCCGAAGCTATAGCTTTCAATGACCCTCCTGGTGGAGATACGGAGCGCATGATTTTGAATGACCATCTTTACCGGCTGATACGTCACTCTCGATTGTCAGCATTTCAAAGATTTATTCAGCAGGTAAATCCTGACCCGTCGGAATCGATTCGAGGACTACCCTGGTCTTTGCCTTCTGTTTTTTGTTAATCCTTCTATTATTTCTAACAGGCTGGTTCACCATACTAGGTTGCTGATGGTTATCTCATCAAATATGCTGCATCTATTGTGGGAATTTGCGTATATGCTGCTCCTTTCTATTACAGCAAGCAGGTGTGTTCATCTGTTTCGATACCCGGTTCTTATATCCATCACTGGTTTTCTCGCAGAGACATGATGCGACAATAGCAAGTGGCGATTACATAAGGTCATTGCGTTTGATGGTGGTATGTAATGCTTAAGTTCCCACTTTTATGCTCCTTCAATCTCCCTTTTACAGAGCACATCAAATGCAATAGGCCAGCTGGTCCTAGTTTATAAGAGAGTCACGGCACTTGCTGGACATTCCTCCCGTGTCTCTGAGCTCCTGGAATCGGTATGTTTGTTCATTAAAATTCACTACAACCGCGCTATTCTTACAGGTAAAACAACTGAGTACAAGAGAAGGCCGACTTCGTGCAAGCCACATAAGGCGATTGTCATGGCATTTTGAGCAAGAATCATCTGTTCAAAATCCACCCCGCCTTCTTTATGGAGATAGCATAAAGTAATTGAGCATTTTCGTTTGGAAATGCTAATGCTTGCGGTTTCAGGTTCAGGAACGTCACCATCTCAGCACCTGATGCCACTCCATTGGTTCGGGATTTGAGCTTTGAGCTGCTACCAGGTCACTCTATCATAATTATGGGTCCAAATGGAAGGTTAGCACTTAGGAAACCGTTTCATTTTGATAATCTCGTGTCGGCAGTGGAAAGTCATCAATTTTTCGCGTGCTGGCTGAGCTTTGGCCTCTCCAAAATGGCACAATAACGAGACCGCCACGAGGTGGAGGCGTTTTTTACCTTTCACAAGTATGTGCACATTTTTAAAATCTCATGTGTATCGTACTAAAAAAATTGGAGTTTTGCAGAGGCCATACCTCGTGCGTGGTACACTGAGAGATCAAGTTCGATATCCAGCATTACCCCTGACGCTGACACGTAAATCCGACAAGAAGTCTTGGTCCCAAGGCTGCCGCTCCGTCAAGAATGACAGGCATCCAGACGATGCTCGTGTTTTGGAGGCACTAAATGCAACGGAGGTTGGCTACTTGGTTCACCGTGGAGATGGCTTGGACCAGAACCAGGTTCGTCTTTGTTATTTTAGAAGCAGCCGTTTGGAAGAACTAAAACTTGTATATGTCACTTAGAACTGGGAGGAGACACTGTCTGGAGGAGAAAAGCAACGCCTTGCAGTTGCCCGGCTTCTTTTCCACAATCCCAAGTAAGCAGCTCTCTATAAATTAGCCCTTCCAATTGAAATTCATGCAGGTTTGCTGTATTGGACGAGTGCACGTCCGCCGTGAGCGCCGATGGTGAAGAGAAGCTCTACAGGCAATTACACGAGAGAGGCATAACAATGCTCTCAATCGCCCATCGACCCGCATTGATGAAGTAAGTCCCCACACACGTCAAGTTCATCAAGTTCTCTTTTTGAGTTTAAGAATCACAATGCCTGTTCTCCAGGTACCACACCGCAGTCCTCTACTTAGATGGCAGCCAATCGGGCTATGGCTGGAGATACGAGGTCCTGAAAGCTAAAGCTGCCGAAGATAGCTGAGCTTTCGCCTCACTCACAAATAAAAGCGACGAGTCAAAACCCAAACACCAGATCCACCACCTTAGACAATAGCGATTTCGTGGGCGATGCGATGGTCGACGCTGGTCGAGCAAGCGACGAGTCCGAGTGGAGGTAATACGGTCGAGCAGCTGTTTGAGCGGACGCCATTCCTTTGGCCGAGGCCTTTGGGTGTGGCACCGAAAGCCCCGAGCTCCTCTGGGCCTTGTCCATCAACGCTTGCCTTTGCAACGGATCAACGGGCTTGACACCGATTATCAGCGCTCCATAGAGCTGCATTCCATTCTTCGCCAGCGCCTTTTGTGCGTCCTGCCGAGACTGGAAGGAAGAACAGGAAAAAAATAAAATCATCACGAGAAGAAGAAAGAGCGTCTAGAGTTGAATCGACAGACCTGGTACTGGATATGGAGCCAGTTGGAAGTCGCGGGGCCGGCAACTTGCTTGATAATTGGACCGCATTTCTCAAACTCTCGAAGAACTAAGTTGGTGTCCTCTCCGGGAAAACTACAATGAGATAGCAGTAAGAACAAGAACAAAGCCAAAGAGATGGAAGTGTTCTATACGTACCCATAGATTGTCACCCATTCGTCTCCTTCTTCCCCAGCGTCGGGCAACGCAGCGCTTCTCTGGATATCCGGACGAATGATCTGGCGAGGTGCCGGGAGCGTGAGGAGCCCGGACTGTGGCTCGGCCTGGTGATGGAGATGGTGGTGATGGATCCCAGTGGTGCCAGTATGTAAGTTCTCTCGCTCGCCATCGCTATGGCCGCTCCAATCCCTCATAGCCGCCGAAGAAGACCACCACGCCGAGGGCGGCGAGGAGGATGGAGGAGCGAACCCGGGGGACTGGAAATCTCCAAACAATCCGCCGCTTCTTCTCGACGCCCCGGATTGCGGAGTCTTGAGAGGCGATTTGCTGTCCGAGAATCTGGAAGCCAATCCATCCGGGGAGCGATACTCGCCGGCGGCGGGAGGGGGCAGCAGTGTCTCCGACGGGGTGCGATCGATGCGGTCCTCGAGCGTGAAGCAGGGCGGAGGCGGTGGATCCGCGCCGCCGCCTACATTGTCGCGCCAGGAGGAAGATCCCGCCGCCGCCGCTGCTCCAGACGAGGAGGATTGCGCCCCGGAAGCGCGAGTGCCGGCGGCGGCGAGATTCAAGTCTCTGTAGAAGAGAGATTGGTACCTGCCCGCCCCGCCACGCCGCTGCTGCATCGTTCCTCCTCCGCCATAGCCAGCTGCTGCCATGGAATTTTTCAAGAAAACCCAAAGCCCTAAAGACCAACGGCCAGGATCTCGTGGTGTTGGCGTGGTTTTGAATTAACGGCTGCGATTGGTTCCGAGATTTAGGGTTCTTGAGGGGTAGTCGCAATGGAAGCGCAGGAGCGCGCGGCTGGCGCTGCCAGGATGCTCGGCGGCAATGGCGGTAAGAGGATGAGTACAGGAACTATATTTTTCAAGACGAAGCTGTGCTCTAGATTCCGGGCGGGGACTTGCCCCTACATCACGAATTGCAACTTCGCGCATGGAATGGAGGAGCTCCGGAAGCCGCCGCCCGGATGGGAGGATTTCGTCAATCCTCCCGTGGTCGCGGACGGCGGCGGCAATGCGGCGAAGCTCCGGCCGTGCAAGAGATTTTTCGCGGAGGGAGTTTGTCCTTACGGTGAGAGGTGAGGTATTCTCTCAAAGTTTTCGTTTGCTCTTTCGTCTCGATTGATTGATCACTTAGATCTATGCTTGGTTTCTCTGTAGGTGCATCTTTAGCCACGAGGATCCGGCTGTGAAACCCGCCGCTACCACTGCGATCAGCAACGCGAGCACTGCAAAGCCGCTGAACTGGAAAACGCGGCTTTGCAACAAGTGGGAGACGACGGGATCGTGTCCGTTTGGAGACAAGTGCCATTTCGCCCATGGAATCGCTGGTAAGAAGAAGCTGGCTTTTTTTGTCTCCGCTGGAGCAAAGTTTTGGTTTTTCGGTTCTTCGCAGAACTTCAGAAGTATGGTGGTGGAGGAGAGTCTCTTCCAGCGCAAATGGACTCCAAGGCCCAGACTTCCTCATACTCGGACACCTCGGAAGCCAATCCTTCGCTGACGAGCAATCTTTTCCAGCAGCAGCTGCAACATCAAACACAGCAAAATCAAAGCCAGAGCCAGCAGCAGCAAAGCCGGATCCAGCAGCAAAAGCCTCCGCTAGTCGCAACTCAAGCACCACCGAGCTCGAAAGTCTGGAGGGGTCCTAGCGGCGACGCCATCTCCACGGTTTATGGAGACTGGCTCGAAGAGGAGGACGAAGAACAAGAACAAGAAGAGCAAGAGGACGAGGGCAATCATCCCATGGAACTATTTTACGAAGAGCTCCAAAGTTTCCACTAAGGTCGAATCTCAGGGAATATCCGCATCTTGTACGGCAGTGTGATGTACGTAAACGGCGCCGTTACCACCGCCGTTACCCTGGTGTGTTGTGGAGGAGCTTAAAGGTCGCCGCCGCTTCTAGCGCCATTTGTTCTTTGTTTCTTTAGGGTTCTTGGGCATGCCCAGCCAGGAGGAGGATGCGATGATCGAGGCGGAGGAGGACAAGCCCGCCAAGGGCTTGCCGCCGCCGATGGAGCTCGACTGCGGCAGCAATGGCCATCACCAGGTAGAGGATTTCTTGTCCGAGGGAGAGGCGGCGTCCTCGCCCGGCAGCGCGAGCAATGTAGCATCGTCACCCCGTGATGGCGGCGGCGATGAGAAGGAGGCGAGCATCGCGAGGCTGGCTCGCGAGAACGAGGAGCTGTCCGGGGAGATTGCGGCGCTCAAGCGGGAGAACGAGGCCGTGGCGCGGAGCGTGAGGAAGCTGGAGGAACAGGTGAGGGACGACGCCGCGAAGCTGGATTCGATCGCCCGGGAGACCGATGAGAAGAGGAGGGAGGTGCTGGAGGAGATTGAGGCTGCGAGGAGGCAGGTCTCGGCCCTGGAGCTGGACAAGGCGGGGCTGAGCCAGGAGAGGGTTGCTATGGCGGCGGAGAAGGAGAGATTGGAGGATGCTCTCGCGGTGGCCGCCAGCAACGTCTCGGAGCTCTCGAAGAAGGTGGACGACGCCGAGTCGGCGGCGGCAGCGGCCAAGGAGAAAGTTGCGCTGCTCGACGCCGAGGTTAGAAAGTTGGCAGGCGACTGTGAGTTTCTCCGGGACTCCAACGCCGGGCTCTTGGCAATCAAGGCGGGGCTGGACGACGACTTAAAGGCGATAGCTTCGTCCAGGGAGGCGCTGCTCCAGGAGCGGGAGAAGCTACTGCTGGAGATCAAAGGCTTGGAAGCGGAGGCGAGCGGCGCAAAGGAGCTAGCGGAAGCTATGCGAGCTCAAGATCAGGCTTTCAAGACCAGCCTCCTGTCGCTGGAAGAGAAGCTGGCGGCGGCGTCCCGACGCGAGGTCGAGCTGGAGACGAAGAACCACGCGCTGGCCTCGAGCATCCGGCAGCTCGAGGCGCAGGTATGCGGGCTCCAAAAGTGCTCGTCGGAGCACGAGTCCCTGGCCGCGGAGCTCCAGAGGGAGAGGGAGCTCCGGGTGGCTCTCCAGGAACAGGTGGTCGGGCTCAACACCCGGAAGCTCTCGCTCGAGGAGGAGGTGAAGCAGGCGTTGTCGACGATCCAGAAGATGCAAGACATCACACAGAAGGAGCAGGGGCAGCGGAGGATGCTCGAGGATCAAGTGTCGTCGATCATGAGGGAGAAGGTCCGGGTGGAGGAGGCCAAGACGGGCGTGGAGGCGGAGCTCAGGCAGCTGAGCTCGTTGTCCGCCAAGGCCGAGGTGACGGCCAAGGCGGAGGTGCTGAGCCTCAAGCAGAAGATCGAGGGGCTGGAGAGCTCGCTGGGCAAAGTCAAGGAGGAGGCTCTGTCGAGCGAGAAGAAGGTGTGGCAGCTGCGATCGGAGCTTAGCAAGGCCAGGGAATTGCTGGAGTGCCGGTCGAGCGTGGCGAGGTTTGCTCTTCCCGCGGCGCTAGTCTCGACCGGAGCGCTTGTGGCTGCTGGAGTTCTGGGATATTTTCGTGTCAGGCAGTTAGGCCAATGAAAGTTTTTGTAAAGAATATACTTAGAATATTAAGTATGTTCTGGAATATTTCTTAACTTAAACGGATATTTTCTTGCCTACTATAATTTAGTAGTATCTTGTTTTAATCTGGTGGGCGTGGCCTCTTGAAACTGTTACCATCTATTAGGTTTAGAATGTTGTCTTGATTTGTCTCCACCTCTAGCACATATATTTTTGCTACTTGAATACATCCATGTTTCTAAAGCAAACCAAAAACCTTACCCCTACCGATTTGTTGTACCACTCTAATTACACATGATTTTGCCCTAAGTCCTCCTTTTATCACAACATTCCAACTTGAAAACTATACTCACAAAATAGAACTCTTCACATTGGAGCATTCTTACTATTATCAGAAGCAAGTAGAAATTTAATATATCTTATTTTGTCTTTAAGAAAGTTTATAATTATAAGCATAAAACTTATCTACATCCATGAGATAGTAGAATATGCAAGAATGTACATAAAGGTGTTTATGAAAGTTTATAATTTATAAACATGAAACTAATCTAAATCTATATTAACCTTTAGCAGAATTAATCTATAACTGTTAGATGGTGGAATATCCTAGAATATCTGATTCTAGGTATGTCTTTAAGTATTGAAACTAAACTAATGTATAATTAGTTGATAAAAAGACCATTTTTAAGTATTGTTTATTTTTTACAACCATAATAGTTATTTATATTTTTTTTGCACCACATTTTATTTGAAATTTTTCTTTACTAAATTATGATCATTTTTTAAAGTGAGAAATGTAAAAAATATACAATTTGAACAATATTTACTAATAGATTACATAGGTTTTTTTTTATCAGTATATAGAACAAGATTACCATCATATTGAACTATAATATGGATGAAGGTATCCACCATAGAACTTCAGTATAAGTGGATGATTAGTTGCTTCACATAGAATAATTAATCTATACAATAGAAATATTGATAAATTCGATATATCTTTCAATGGGGGTAAGTGTAGCCCATGTGGATATATTGTAACAATACCTTTTAGCAATTGTATCATTTTTATTAGGACCGTCTCAATTAATTATGCAATTTAATATTCACTTCTAGTGGAACTAAATATGTTGGAATGGTTTAAGTTGGGTATATTATGATTAACATATCATCAAGATATTATTAGGATTTATACATGCATTTGCCCAAAACACCCTTAATAACACTCTTGATCTTTAGTCTTGACACTAAAATTCTTTTAAGAACAAGGAGTCACATAAGTAATAAAGGGATATTACATAAATAATTTAACAACCCCTTTATCTTTTTCTTGGGAATACTATCAAGGAGTTTATTTGGCATTAATTCATATAGTGTTAATTTTCTAAGATTGTTTTAATAATTTTTATAACAAAAAGTCCATCATTATCTTTTCTATATTAGTGGATATGTATTTAAATTTATCTTTTATTACTCAACTTGTTGTCACATGTTGTAGTCTACATTTAAATTGTATAGTAGAGCTAATCTTTATTCTCTATAACAATGGCTATACATATACATTGGGTAAGGCAAACTTAGTTAGATTTTAAAGATTTTTCCCCTTGTCTTATACTAATTTATATCTTTTGTATTCTTTTCACTATTATTTCACTTTATCTTTTTGTTTTTACTTTATTACTTCCTACTATATTTCCTTCTTATTCTTTTATTCCCTCTTCAGATCTCTTAAATAGACTTTATATTGTAATAAATCGCTGGCTCAAGTAAGAATATATTGATCTCTTTGATTTTGACATATCATTGAGAGTTAAGATTACAATATCTCATCCTTTATCTATATTCCTATATATTGTATCTAGAGTATTACCTTTTCATTGGACAAATATATGATTTGATGATATATGAGTTTCATGTTAGGTCTTATAAAGATAAGTTGAAGAAAGATTGTATAAACAATAAAAAAGAATGACTTGAGAGACGATTTATAAGAGTTCAAATATAAAGAGAAAGAGCTCATAAATAAGAGTGCATAATTTTTTTTTCAATTAGTTATAAGTTTTTTAATACATAAAGCTAAAAATCTTTGAGTTTGAAGAATACTAAACTTATTGATCTCCTAGAAAGTCTAAATTCAAGAGTTTACAGATTATTGGTTGTTTTGTGACTACTAATTGTTTTACAAGTACTAATAACTTATAAACTTTATCAAGGACTTTTGATACTTTATTTAGTTTTAAAATGATTTAGTAATAATGGGTGGTATTGCGAAGAATTGTATTATTAAGCTTGCATGGTTTTTCCATATGTATATCAATTTCATTTCTCTTAATATTGTTTAGCTACATTTAATCCTTAGTTTTAAATTTCATTAACCTTTAGATGTGATGATTCACTCTATCATAATGTGTTATCTGTAATTTAAATATTATTAAGAAAGATTGATTTATATATTAAATAAAGTATTTTTCACTTTAGTTAACTTATTTGCTAAAGAGTGTTAAGTAGTGATTCATTCATGGTTTTTTCTAACTTTGTTCTAATGCTGGTAGTATTGAAGTGATACTTTGACATTGACATTATTATAATTGAAATTGAAATGAGATGAAGTGTTTTTCTATAGGCATATTGAAAAATTTGGATTTTCCTTCTATGATGATTCAGATTATTGGTGATCAATTAAGCTCATTGAGGATTAATATTTTGTTTCAATAGTTTTGATAAAGATGGTATTGACAATTTAGCCATTATGTCATTAAAATTTGTATATTTTAGACAAGATTGTTTAGTAGAGATTTGGATTTGGATTTTCTTTAAAAATTGCATAAATTATATTACCTTTGCAATAGAGAAAGTTATTAATTGATATTGGAGTTGTTGAATTTAATCATTAATGGTTCTTATAGCACTTTGTTATGAAAGAATTGCATTTTAATATGGAAGATAGATTCATGGAGGATTAATTTAATAATCATTAGTTGAGCATAGCTTTATCATGTTTAGCTTTTATGCAAATATATTCTTTATTAATTGTTGCATTATAAATTTTGGTTAATGGATATATTAGTGAAGATATTGTGGGTTCTATCATGATTTCTTCTTTAGCATTGAAGTTCATTGATATAAAACTTATGATTGTTGTTATATAAAATTTGGATTTAACCTTTTTTAAACTTTTGATTCTTTAAATTTTTATACTCATTATTCCATTTGTTTATCAGAGAAAGCATATTAACTTATTACTTTTGATATTTAAGTTGGTGTTTGTATTTGACAATCATTGGTGATATTTGATCATAATTATCCGATTCGTGGCATGGGTATACACATGTGTCTACATGTATCTCGCTGAGGTGCTGATTCAGCAGCTTGATATCATTTATCCATACATAACCTCGATAATATGACCAATCGTTTAGATAACTTGGGAAATAACCTGATATTCCTTCTAATTCCGGATTCTAATTCATAATAATTTAGGATAATGGATTATCATTATTATCATTATTAGTTGTTTTGTTTAATTATTGTTAATGATGGATGATTTATCATTTTTAGGTAGAGATGGTGGTGTTCTTTATAATGATTATACATCTTTATAAATGAGATGATTAATGAACTTTTATGTTGATTAGTCATTTTCTTTTATGGCCTTCGTTGTTCGCATTACTATATCTTCTTTATAGCTTTTTTGGATTGATCTCTTGGATTTGAGATTTTGGTAGGATATTATTGATAATTTTTTTAAGCAACTTTAATTCTTTAATATTGTTGATTGAGATTTATTCAAATTGGCTAATGTGATGACTACTATAAATGAGTGGTATGTGTTGATTATTACTAAGCTTAATTCTGATATATTGAGATGTTATTTCTTTAAATTATATATTTGTGAATATTTTTCTTTTATAATTAATGATTTATTATGTTTTTTAGCTGTTTTTTATAAATTATTTAGCATGCTATTTATAATATATAGTCGTTATGTTTTATCGTTGAGTTTCTTGATGATACACTTGTTATGTCAATTGGTCACATAATTTGGCTTTTGGTGTTTGCATTACTATATCTTCTTTATAATTTTTTTTCGATTGATCTTTTAGATTTGAGATTTTAGTAGGATATTATTGATAATTGTTTTAAGCAACTTTAATTCTTTAGTATTGTTGATTGAGATTTATTCAAATTGGCTAGTGTGATGACTAGTATAAATGAGTGGCATTTATTCGGATGTGTTGATTATTACTAAGGTTAGTTCTAATATTTTGAGATGTTATTTCTTTAAATAATATATTTATGAACATTTTTCTTGTATAATTGATGATGCATTGTGTTTTTTGAGCTGTTTTTAATAAATTATTTAGCATGCTATCTATAATATATAGTAGTTATGTTTTATCATTGAGTTTCTTGATGATACACTTGCTATGTCAATTGGTCACATAACTTGCCTCTTTTTTGATATTTCTAATTCTGTTAAAAGATATAACTGTGTAAAAAACTTTAATTGTTTATTATAATAAATCTAAACCTCACAAATGTGTTTGGTTTCTCTTGCTATATTACCCCTAAGAAAAGGCATATCATCAAGTGACACAAAAGGTATTTGAGTATTATCATATTTTGGGTAAACAAAGAGGTCATCCTATAATTCATTTAAAATTGGTGCATTTTTCATAAAGTGTGAACTTTTTTATTGTTATTTCCTTGGAAATGGTCTAGCCTAGAGAATGCATCGATGAGGACATTGATCTTCTAAATAGGAGAAAGGGGATTGAAAGTGTTTTACAAATATCATTATGGGTGCTGAAAGTTATCTATTAGTAAGTCTTTTTAAATATTCTTCTTTTACTACCGTAATAGTAAAATGTCAATATTATTAGTTCTCTTTAATAGTACTTCTTATTCAACTATTAGTAAACTTGACTTAAGATCTATATTTGACTGGATAAGCATAAAGAAGGAATTCCTAAATATCTATTTAGATAAGCATACTTAGCCTGATTTGTTAATTCTTTTTTACTTCATCTTACACTAGCTTATCAAGAACCTTGGTGTATTAAGTATTAGTACCTCAATATAGCAATGTGATATCTTAC